TAAAATCTGATATAAAAATTTGCTTTCAGGTGCATAGAAAAAGAAGTGTGTTGCATGTGAGTATAAAACTACTTGCTACCTGAAGAATTAATCAGTATATTAACAAGTTGAGTTTACCCAGAATTTATTTAAAATTTAATATCCTGCCTGTGAGACAAAATGAAATCTATTTATTTAGCCTTATTTCAATTATTAATATCTGAAACAAAGAGCATAAACGCCGGTAATTAGTGATCACTGTGGCAGTCAACGTGTTAAATCTCGCATCGTATACTTTTCTTTGTTTGAAATAACTATTTGGGGGAAATGAAACAACAGTTTGATCCCTTGGGAATCTAACGAAAGTGAAATGCAGAACGTGAAATAATACTGCATATAAAAATTGTAAGAATGTTTGGAAGGTGTCGATCATTGAGACAATTTTCGTCATGAAACGGTTGTTTATTATTCAACTGCATCGCTAGTAATAAAAAGTATTAACACGCGGCGTGCATCGATGGCTCGGTGAATACTTATGAAGTTAACAACGAAAGCATGCACGAGCCGTATCTGTTACATCATTTCATCAAAGTGTAGTATCACGGGATTACAATGATTACAACTCAGCGGCCTTCGATGAACGGTTTTTGATCGTCTGCTTTCTTAGGTGAACATTTTCTGTATGTAACAGTCTGTGTATTTGTTACCAATGTTGCACTCGTCCGTTTCTCCGTTGACTGTAACAAAGAAAATAGCTTGTCAATGGAAGTATCGATGAGATTTCCAGAGTATTTTCTTTTTTTTTTTTTTTCGTAGGATGGTTTTTCAATTGCAAATACAGAACTGAATCTAAAATTGGTCGATAATTAACGAAGCTATTTTAGTTATGAGGCACATTATTATTATTATTGCAGAGCTTCGTTTCTAAATAATCACGAAAAGATTAATTTAAAAAGTGGAAGTTAAATCAAAGAGAAGGCTCGCGTTATATATAATTTTGGCAAAAATGGTCATCCACTGCAAAGGACAGTGAATAGTGTGAACAGCTGCTACAAAACTCGAAATACGAAGGGACGATAGACATGTCTCACTAATGAAAAAATTAATCTTCTCTAAATAATAAAATTTTTTAACGTATCTCTTTTTTCTAAAAACGCGAGCTAGAATGAAAATAATTTCCTTTTGTCTCTTCTTTAACGAAGAAGTAGTTTAAAGAGGCTACCACTGTCAGTTTTTTTCAATTTCTAACAGACAATGAGAGGAATTGCTATATTATTAAGTATAAAGCAAATAAAATTAAAGGTCAATGCTTACGGTTTTCACCGCATTCATTCGCGATTGTTTTCACTAATTTAATATCCTCATCGTTGCCAGCGTGAACCGTCTCGATCATCTTGTGTATCGGTTCCACGTTGAAGGTAGTGCCTTGCAACTAGAATTTCAGGAAAGAAAGAAATTGAAAATTAAGTTCTTCGAACGATTAAGTAAATGTCTGATTGATTGTTCGATTAGGAATACACGCACCGCGTTCATTCGTTTCATCACGCAAGCTTTCAGGCAACCCATTTGTCTCAAGTCAGCTGCTGCTGCGGCTTGTTGTATGTTCGTAGCAGCATCTGAAACGTAACAATTATTAATTATTCGTTGTATAATTTTTGAAATCGTTTAATTTAAATCTCGTCGATTTTTCTTATAGTAAGAAATCTTTTTTATATCGACAAAGAAACCTTTTTTTAATTTGATCAAGTATTTTTAGAATGTATTTCGTTGAACTTGATGTTAGAATTGTAACCACAAGGAAGGATGCAAGCTTTTACTTGTGTAACTTTTAGGAAAAATATATTTGACTCGCTCTTGTATATTTAAAAAGATTTTGAAAGATAGTATTATTATGTTATGTGTTAAAATTTTCAAAAATTATTTAGAAAAATAAAAAGATTTTAAGAAAAGTTGTTTCTGGTAGAATGAAGAAAACATAATAGGATAACATGATAAAGGAATAGGAAAAAGTTTCTAACATAATACATCAATAATGAAAATGAAATTTCTGCGAAAAATTACAGATTGGTCATTTTAACCATTCTGAAAGTTCTATATTATTAATATAAGAAATGATTTTCACCTTCTGCGATATTAAACTGATCAGCGCATGGTTTGATATCCGGCATCAAGTATTCCATGTATTTTCCGATTATAGCGTCCTGGTCCATACCACGCACAACAGTCTGCAAATAAATTCGTCATCTTGTGAACTAAGATTCGGAGAGATCTTTGAAAACACGGAAATTTAAGGAGATAGTTTCAATACTTAAGCTATATTTATTTGAAGGAAAAAGAGAAAGTTATTGATTTTATATTCAAATACATAAAAAATTGAAACGTCCCTTAATCTCCGAGAAATTCAATTTAAAAAAATTTTTTCTAAATTTCTAAAAAAAAGAAACAGTCACAGTATTTTGAATATATATTTTTG